GGCGGGGTCGGCGAGGAGCAGCTGCGGTGCTTCCGCGAGTGCCTGCAGGAGGCGATGCGCGGTGAGTGCCGGGGGGCATCCCCTGCATCCCCTCTTTCCGTCCCCCCGCGTCCCTCCCGCATCCCGCGGGGTCCGGCGGAGCGCAGCCCCCGCGCAGAAGCTCCTCTTTGTTCCCTCCCGCAGAGCACTACAAGCACCACTGGTTCCCCCTGGTGCCCTCCAAGGGCTCCGGCTACCGCTGCATCAGGATCAACCATAAGATGGACCCCTTGATAGGAAAAGCGGCGGGGATGATCGGACTGAGCCACGAGAGGCTCTTCCAGCTCTTACCCAGCGAATTAACGCTGTGGGTCGACCCCTTCGAAGTGTCCTATCGCATAGGTGAGGACGGGTCTATCTGTGTGCTGTACGAAAGCCCCCAGCCTGGGGGGAAGGCGGCCAAACAGCTGGAGAGCAGGACCAGCTGCAAGGAGGAGTGGAGAATTGGCAGATCCAGCCCTTCCAAGAGTTACAACATGATGACGGTTTCTAGTTAAAAACAACTCTTCCCTGTACGGTGTTGTATGTATCCCAACCTCGTGGTAAAGTTAGATGTAACCGAGCTTTTTTGGTTTTAGTTATTTTTTTCACCCTATAGTCATTAAAGTCGTGGTATACTGCCAAGTTCTTCGTAGCCAAGGGCTAAATGTATAAAGCAGTTCTTTATGCTGCATGTTCCTTTCTGGGTTGTGTCCTGTAAATGCTCTGTACAGTCGGTGGATTGTTTTACACATTTATATTTTGGAAAAAGTTTTGCCTATTTGTAATAAAAAGCAGTATTGTAGCACTCTTCATGATGGGTTTTAGTCAAAATTGGTACTTGCTAAAAAAAAAAAAATCTGCAATTTGCAATAACACAAAGGGGGGGTGGGAAACTAACAAACTGCACGTGAATCTTTCCAGTGATTTGTCTGCACAGACTTCTCTCAGGGTCATTCAAGTTTGACTGTGAGGCACAAATCACAGAAATAACTCTTAATTTTTTCATTTTTCAAAGCATGCATTTATTTGAGGGCTGGGTTCCATCACACCCCAATATTTTAGCAAAAAGAAGTGGGGAATTAGTTGTCTTGTTATCTCCAGTTATGGGAGTAGGAAAATAAAGACTTGCTTAAAATGCTTCTGACTTGTTTTGGTGTTCTGTTTTGGGTTTTTTTTGTTTTTTTCCCCAGGCTTTTATCATTGCTCTCAAAGCTTATTCTATCCATTTCTAATAATTGCAGAAAGCTTTGTAGTTAAAGAGGTGTAGTGGAGAACATACATCTTTATTTCAGATCAGAACAAAACACTCAGTTTTGGGAAAGCTTGCTGGCTGCCTATCTTAAGCTGAATAATCTGTGTAGAACTGGGTGGATTTTTCTTTTGGTACTGAAGGGAAGCAAAGCTAGTCTTCTAATATTTGATCTATTGCAAAAAAGAAAAACAACTTGAGTTTATAAGGAAATGGAGTTTGGGATTAAAACTGCAACTTTACACCATATAGGAAGCTTGAGTGAAAATTATCATCAATGCTGTGACTGCCTTGGCTTTTCTGGAAGGTAAATCCTGTTCTTTCTGGCTTTGAGTTCCTTATTTTTGTCAGGGTCTCTAATACCAGTTGGGCACTGTTTTAGTGAGGGTATCAAATACAGTAGATTTGATGTAATGATGAAACTCTGTGTTGCTGGTTTATGTGGATATTCTTAGTGTTGATATCCCAGTAAAGGATTAATTTACAGTTATTGTGATTCCTATTCTAAGAAGCAGTGGTTTCTAATTCAGCCATAGGAAGCTGCCTGGCATTGCTGATTTCTGTAGCCTGGTGTTGGAGCACGGTTGAACACTTGATGAAAGGGAGCTTTGTCTGGAGTGAGTATGTCAGCAAAAAAACCTTCCTTGTGCTATGTCAATAACATGGTATAACATACAGCGAGGGAAGGGGCAAGTCTGGGCAAACTGGAAAGGGCAGAACTCCAGCTCTCAAAGAGGTTTTTTCTTTGTTTGCCTTGGAAAAAGCTGTGGCTTGCTTCTTGCTGTTTGCTTATTATCTCGGAGGCAGGCTTGTCTAGTGGTATTTGTTTAATCTAGAGGAAATGCATAGTGCAATTTTCTTAGTAATTAAAACTCTGTGAAAAATTGATTGTGTGTTTCTAGTCTATCACTCCAATAAATAAGTTTCTGGGTTACTTTAACAAATGGGTGTTAAAGGTCTGGTGGCAAATTGCCTTTTTATTAGATAAGATTGGAAATCGGTTCTCATGACATTGTTTTATTCTCTTGGGGAGGCAGTAACACTTTCCTTTTCCTCTCTGATGAATATTCAGTGTGGGTAATCCTAATCCTTGGGACCTCTAAGGGATGTATTTGACACATTTGTCAGTAATTGAACAGAATAACTTCAAATCTGCTAAGGGTGAGGTGCCTTCTTCGGTTAAATTTCATTTGAAAGGTAATTGGTCTTGCTGTACATTATATTAACAGCCCACTGGAAAAGATAGGTATGAAGTCTTCAGCTGAACAGGAGGTTTTCCATAGCAGGAAACACTTGAAGTGGAATTGAAGATGTCTTGGGAGACAGGATATGATTTCCAGCTGCTGGGTGTGGTTTGAGGTGAAGGAGGGTACAGCAGGTTCTTCAGATGTTCTGTTCTTGCCTGGTGTCTGTTCATGACAGTCATGGAGACAAGAGCAGAGAAGAGCCTGGGTTAATCCAGCCATGATGGATTCTGCTGCTTTTATTAATCCTCCCCCAAGCAATGGGATGTTTCAGATGTTACATAATACCACTTCTCCAGTGTCCTTTGCTCTCTGTAGGTTTGATGTCTATCATTGGATGGGCAATTTAATGCAAGTTAAGTTTCATTTATTTAAGCTGCTTGCACAGAGCTGAAGTCACTCTGCAGACAAATAGGTGGGGGACACCGGGGGAGTTGAACAAAACCCACTGAAGCAAAGAAAACACTTGAGCTGCAAGTAAAAACAGTGATATCTGTGCTATCTAGAATTGCATTCTGTTGCTTTTGAAAATGTCAAAGATGTACTGACAGCACAAAAGCTGTTCTGAGGGAATAGAGTGCTTGGTAGTAATTTGGGGAGGCAGTTCTTTGGAGGAGGTAAAGAAAATCAACTTTGTTTTCCCTGCAAGGTGTTAAGTTTTGTGTTCTGCTGTTGCAACAAACAAGGCAAAACCTTGACCTCTTTAAAGTGACGTACTTGTCACACAAGACTGACCACATCTCACCAGTTATGAATTAGAACAGACTGGTTTGGATTCTGCAGGGAGGATTATTGCATGCTGGCCTCCTTGAAACAGTAAAAAAACATGGAGAAGAATCAGTACCTGCTTGTTTGGATGAGGATGGGTTAACTGTTGGGTAACTAAAGCTGGAATAGAGAGGAACAAAAGTGTGCATTTGCAATCCAAAATATTGGTACTCTGACTTGTTAGCTGGACCTAAGAGCACAGAGATGAATGGTTTTGCCATGAGAACTTCAAGAGAAGGGGATTGTCTGTACTCGTTTCAGATTCTATTACCTTTACATTAGTATCCTTATTTCCTTATCCTTAAGATGAAAGGCTTTTCAATGTGTAGCACTTTATATTGGCATCAAATGAAGCCTGTTTTTCGTATTTAGAGGATTAAAAAGATTAAGCTTTTAAAGTTTGAGCATAAATAATTTTCTTTTAACTGGGATTTACATACATGCCTTCTGCCAACACTTGTTCCATTTTTAATATGTGCTCGAGAGTGTGTTCCCAGGGAATGAGTGCAGTGAACCAACTGATCTGGCTCGCTCTGTTCCCACCACGATTTGCTGTTCACCAGCACTGACAGTGCTGCGAGCCTCACTTCACTGAGAACAATGCAGAAGTCCTGACAGAATCCTAAAAACACGAGGTCTTTCACTTAACTCACTTTTAATTCCTGTAATGCGTTCTTCACTGTTATTTTGTCTAGAATGCCATGTGTTTTAGGTGAAGTGCCTAGTAAAAAAACTAAATAATGAGTTTGTGGCTGCTCACACAAAGGACAAATCCCAGGTTTGTTTAGTAGCTTTCCGTACAGCTGGGTTGATTTGCATTAATGATATTGTTCTCCTTTGAATTATACTCTTATTATGAAGTGAATTCATACCTGATAAATTAACCTCCTTTTAACACTTAATTCATGATTCAAAGTCTTGTAAGTCTCTTGCAATTATTAGTTGTTAATTTTTTAAAGACTGGGATGCTTACTCTAGAGAAACTTTCAATTTGTTCCCAGATGCACTGGAAATAGACATTGGGGTCCCACTGATATCCTAAGGCAATTCTCTTGGACATTTTCTAGACTCTGTGGTTATGTTTTTTCTTATAAAATCCTAAAATTTATTTATTATTAAAATTTATTACTTTTATATTTTCTGCTCTAGTCATAGGTAGATTTCCATTATTTCGTTATCCTCATGCAGTACAAAGTTATCTACATTGCCAAATACAATCACACCCACAAATACTGATCACTTCTAGCATTTTGCTGATCATTTTAGTAATTTTACCATCTTCCTCTTCAAATCTAGAATTCATTTAAATGCTCATGTATCTTAAAAGGTCTTTACCTTTGTATAACTGATTTTCTTAGCTATTTGAACCATGGATTTCCCTCTCATCTTTTTAACTTCCTTCAGATTTTTTTTTTAACTTCACAATAATCTGCGTATGTTGGCTTTTTTTCTGTTTCACCTTGGTTTTCTTTAATTATGACTCAGAATTTGGATCTAATCTTAATTTCTGCCTCACACTGTTTCAGTGTAGCAGCACTCAGCCATCACTTTGGCTGTTTGTGATTCTCCAGGCTGATCCACGTTGCCATGGCAGAGTGGGAAGATTTGTATTCTTGGGTAATAGAGGTATGCTGGCCCCTGACTAATAAGGTTGATACTTTTTATAAATTATTTTTCTCATGGTTCCACAGTCTCTCTCAGTAATATATCTGCTATAGAAGTAATAGACTTATTTGTTTTCATGGTTTTCTTTCTGGGGAATGAATTTATTCCAGGAATAACAAGTGATATTTTGCTTTCTGTTAGAAGGCTATGTAAAATTTTCATTGAGAAGTAAACTGCTGGTTTTAGCTTGTAATTTGAATAACTTTGGTGGGCAATATATTTTGAGATGGAATTGCATGGAAGGATCTTTTTTTCTGTTTGGGAGATTCAGTTGCCCCTCGTTTGCAATCAGCAGGACTATTAATGTCTAGAAAGTGTCAGGAGGCAATGAGGGGGCAAATTAAGCTGTGATTTGTGACCACCTTGGTATTATCATTGCTTAAACTACTGGCCTCTGGATTATTGATGGTGATATTTGCATAGCCTTGTTAGCTGTTCTATAATATCAGTTATTTTTCATAGTGGTTCTTAAAAATCTAAAGAAATAAAAGCTGGAAAAGACAATGTCTGTTCAGCTAAACTAAATAGCAAATTAGTCTTAAGTCACTGAGAGACAAAGCTGCAAATATCTCTCTTGATAAAATAACTTCAAAACAGAGTAGGAAGAAGAAATATTAAATCATCAAAATGTTTGAAAATGTTTCAAGCAAACCTCTAGTGCTAAATAAATACCCATCTTAGAGAAATAAATTCATAATCCTGGAGATATGCCAAGTATGAAAGTTCATCTCTGAAACAAAACACATTTTTAAAAGAAAAATCCATGTATAAAACTCAATTCAGTCTTTGTAGATGCTGTGATGCAGCATATTTCAATATAAACTTTTTAGGAGATAAATTCTTATCAGCTTCATTTGTAGTTGTGTAGTAGGGAGTACAGTGAACTTGATAAAGCAGTTTTTACTGTACAGCTGTTGTGCCTGAAGGGTGATGTTTGGGATGAGGCAAGAGCCCAGTCATGCAAACTGGGCTTAAATTGATCATTTCAATGATCAATTAGTGACTTTGGCCTCAGATGACTGATATGACTTGTGTAACTCCTGGAATTTTCTGCTACATGAATGGAAAAATGAACAAACACACAAGAAACTGAGGAAAAAAGTAGGTTCTAGATAAAATACTTCATGATCTGTCTGGGGCCTGGTTGCTGCAGCACTTCTGGGTAGTCAGAAGAGAATGCTGCATAGAAGAAAGATTGTTGTATCCTCAAACTACTAAACTTCATTTTACACTGAGTGTCACCACGGAACTTGCTTTCTTCCACTGGGACTCTGAAGAGAGAAAGGAATTTGCCTGTTATTTATAAATATTTACAAATACTTAGAAATTACATTACCTGCAAGACCTAAACTTTTGCATGAGGCGTATAGGTGATCTAATACTAATGAGAATTCCTTGTGTTCTGCATTTTTATATGAAATTCTGCTTTAATAACTGTACATATCTATGACACCAATATGCAGTTGACACTTGGCTCTAGTCCCCTACATATTATTTATTCAGCATCATTAGCATCAAAACAACCTTCTGTGAATGTTTCTGTTGCAAATGTGCAACCTGAGGGTTAAATTTGCATAAAGACACGTGTAGGAGTGATGGAAAAGAACATAAACTACTACAGTGCTTTGCCTTTTATATATTCTTGGGATGGATTAGTACAAAGGCTGACCCCTTAGGCTTGCCTTATCTCACTCTGTGAATTTGGATTATCAAGAATAAATGGGAACAGAATTCTCATAATGTGTATGATGAGACAATGTTTTATTTAGGGCTCAAAATAATGTATTACTCATACAAATCCTCTCTTCTGGGAAACGTGCTGGGTATTTTCTGTATGTACCAGAGGTCACATCTCTCCTGACTGCATGTTAAGGGATGATGCAAGAGTTCTGGACATTATTTTTTTCCTGGTAATACCCTACCTGCTTGGTAAGGAAAAAGATGCAGAAATATGTTGGCAGAGGGTTGTTTTGTTCTTCTTGCCTCACAGTGTGATAGACTGATACTGAAACCATTGGATATTTTGATGTGGCTTGTGAGCTAACTTTTGAAGTGGTTGATGTGTGCATGCTAAGTCATCAATTAAGAGTAATTAAGTATGTACTTGAATTTAGTAGAAGTGCTGAACATTTGATGTGGAATTAGGTATTTTGATGGATGGAGGTTTTTCTGAACAAAATTAATTCAGAGTCATGAGCAGCGATATTTATGCAACACTTGATTTTTTCATTAGTCTTTTCACTGATGTTTAGCTAATGTCTCTGACAGGCCTTTTTCAATGACTCAATTCTATGCTTTATAAGCTGTTGCTTCTGAGGAGTCAGTGGAATTCCTCCTGTGTTTAGCATTTAAGGCCTTCTGGCTCAGGGCTGGATGAACACTTGAGGCACTTGCACTGTTTAATTGAGCCCTGTGTTAGATTTGTGGAGCTGCTTCCAATTGCTGAAGAATCAAATGAAGATTTAATTGTAGCTGAAACCTGAGCTCTTCTGTGAGTCGCCTCAGCAGAAAGGAAAATAATTTATCTGTGTTGTGTCACAACTGTATGCGTGCACCATATGGCTTGATGGTATATTCAGGGAAGCTGTGTGGTGATTTCTAAAATATTTCCTTTTCTTTCCTCAAACCTTGAATATTGATTATTTTTCTAAATGTGTTCTAAAGCAGTGGACATTGAACATCCCCAAAGGGCTTCATTTTAGCTGTGATCCAGTGGGGGCTGTCTCAGTTTGTGACTAGAAATCAGCAGAAAAGCACATACCAGTGCTTGTTGTCCTTTCCCCTTCCCTGCTTCCCTTTCAGAATCTGTCTTTCACATAATCTTTTCTTATTGAACCTGTTAAATGTTTGCATCAACATGAAATGAAGAGAAATGAATGTTTGTTTATTGGCAGACACCACATCTTGACAATGAATTGGGACAGTAACCAGCACTGGATAAAAAGGGAATGTGAATCCAGTGCTTCCATGAGGTATTTCTTTCAGCCTTATTATAGCTCCTGTTTTTGTACTGGACTGGCCAGTGTAACACTATATTGCAATGAGCCTTTTGTAGTCTGTTCTAACTGGCAGCAGTATTTTAAATGGCCTGGAAGCTCCTTTTGCAAAGAGAATTATCTGTCCCACTATCACTTCACAGGGAACTGTTGTTGGGAATACTGAGATCTGGTATCAGCTTTGTTAACTACGTGGGGGTAAAGAATTATGCTTTTGGAAAAACTCATCTGTAACATATTCAGCATATCAGACAGGATCTTAAATACTTTTTTTTTTCCCTCCCATATACCTTCTACTAATCAGTTGTAGAATACTTGCAAATTCACAGCAGTTTTTTCCTTTGGTGATTACTTCAATACTTCTGAATATTGGATTTTTTTGGGGGTGACACTGCTGGCTTATTGCTCTTTTTGTAACCTATCTCTCAGTGTGGGTAACTGCTTGTAAACTAAATATTTAACATGTTGCTGTAATGAGTTATTTCCACTGCTTCAGGCACATAATTAAACCTGGGTGTCCATTTTCAGCATCTCAGCTTTATGCCTATTTACAGCTATCTTTGTTCTTCTTAAAAACTGCCAATGAAGTAGTAGCCCTAAAACATATTGTTCAACTGTGACACAGTAAGTATTCTTCATTTATATTGTTGTCTCCTGTTTCATGCCTAATTTGCAATTTTTAACCCTTTTTCCCCCCAAGTACATGCTGATGTCTTTAATTGGCATTTGTTTCTTTTTGTTTGAAAATCACTGAGTGTTGTTCATCCTTTCTTCTGTTCCCCCTGAATTTGTAAGCACTGTTTTCACAATGGAATTCATGTGGATGCAGCCAAACTGTTCTCTATTTTTTTTCCAATATTATTCTTTCCTACCTGTGCCACATCAGTGAAGGTTCTCACCTCATTCCACCAGCATTTTTCATTAGCTGTTGAGTGTTCTCCCTGTGTCAGAGGAATGGGACACCTGCTGCCCAAGAGACACTGTGAAAGGCAGGTTACCATTTACAGCCTGTAGTCCTGTGTTATAACAAACATTTCACTGTGCTGCAGAAAAAGAGAGGAACTGAAAACCTTGTATGCAAAACCTAAAGGTAGTTTCCCTCTTTATAAAAAGACAAAGCTGAGCTTTTTAATGATTAAGAGTCTTGGGGGATTTTTTGTTTTTTCTACCCTCATGGTTTATTTATGGATCTGCTATTTGCATCTTTGTTTATACTGTTTGGAAAGGAGACGGTTTTTTAATTTTTTACATCCACTTCGTGCTTTTGTGGCCATCTCTGTGTAAAACCAAATAAAGCAGTAGGTCAGTGTTCTTTCTGTCATGTATTATATAAACTCCCCATTCACATTAAAGGGTTCCTGTGCATTTATTTTAATTGAAATGACTTATCATTGACACTTCCTTTACTTTAGACATCTTGTTTGGAATGATTGCTTTAGGAAATTGGTGGGAGAGTGGTTATTCTTGCTAAAGTTAAATATTTGTTAGAACCAAATATTCTAATTTGTTTCTGCAAGAATTTAAAATTTATTTGAAATCAAATGGGTATTTTAAATTTGCAGTAATGTGAAGGAGTGGGCCTGAAACTTTGATGGCAGGAAAGGACAATTCACTTTTATATCATGTACCATGGTTCAAAAGGACAGTGTGATAACCAAAAACCTCTAAGCTACAACTGTCCTGGTGGAATATGGTACAAGAATGCTCTAGCAGGAAGGAAATTACAGCTTATAAAGTGCAGCATCTCTGGTTATGAAATAAAGCCTCACTTCCCAAATCCACTGCTAGTAAGGGGAAATTTGTGATAGATCAAGCTCTTTATGTGGGATTCTTTTCCCAGTGAGGGCTTTGCTCTGTCCCAGTGTTCCAATGATCTCTTGTCTCAGTAAAAAGATAATGCATAAGCAGGATTATTTGATATTCCATCAAAACATCCTGCAAAATATCCCCTGTGGGAAGACACCAGAGTGGTAAAATAATGCCTGTAGGCAGATGAGGAGAGTGGGGGCACGAGATGGATGTGATGGGAAATTCAGGCTTTTTCTCAAAATTCAGAAGGGCCCTTGGGAAATGTTCACAGAGTGGCAGAAAATGCATTTGGGGGAAGGCTAAAAGCTTAGATGATACAATCTGTATATTTGTCCCTTACTCTGAATGATCAGAGTGATTCTTGTACAAGGATCTTCTAATAAACATTTTCTCCACCTCTCAGGTTGTTCAGGAAGGTTAATACATGTATAACTGTACAGAGAACAGGTAAGTTCTGGTGAGGCTGCTCCTTTTTTGAGTAATTGCTGTAAGCAAGTTCTGCCAGATTTTGGCAGATAACACGGGTTATTCTGAAATGGCATTTTCTCCCTTTGAATCTATGTGAAAGCCTTTTATCTAAAGCCTTTTTATGCAATTTTGGTTTAGAGCTGTGTCCTTGATAAAGAATAGTTATGGTATGATTTTCACATCATGGTAAATTATGTTCTAGGACTAAACTCTGAAATGCAATTTGCTTAAAAAAATAACAGTTCAGCCTTAGGACCTTTGATATTCTGCACCTTTCTGGTATTATTTGCTTCTGTCTTCGTTTCTTCTACTTTTTGACTGCATCTTTACATCTGTGTAATCCTTATTCCTATTTCAAATTTTTCCTTTTTTTTTATTTTCCATTGACTTTGAACCTCTTCTGGTGCATTGAGACTAAAAAGCCAGAAGAAAAATACATTCTTAAGTTAATGCCATACTGTTTCAAATTAATTTCTTCATGATTGTTTCAATGCTAAAGCTTTTAATAAAAAGTTTAATAAGATAAATTAGCATATTTTCTAATAATTTTATTTCAGAAGTGCTTTTTTAAATTCTTAAACAAGAAAAAACAGCAAAAATGTCCATCAAACATTTCTGTTTGAAATAAACAGTGCTATGGAGTAGCTGATTTAGGAATACTGTGAAGCTTAAGTAAAAGTGCAAGAAACTTAAATAATGGGAAGCTTTTGAGCAATACTCTGTATTAATAACCAGGAGCCAGAAAGGACATTCAGAGCTACTCCTTTCAGTGAATTACCTGCAATCTCCCAATCATATGAGGAGTGTGTGCATATGGCTTTGCTACTGAAAAACAATCAAACAACCCCAAATTTCAATCCTATAAGTTTTATTCTATAAGATTTGGGAGATGTAGGTGGAGAGGAAAAAAAAAGTTATGCACCTGATAGTGTCTCCTTAAACCAGCAGATGAGGCTGTTTCCTATTTTATCTATTTTGCAATACTGTAAACCCCTGGAAACCTGTAACTGCAATGAAATGCCTGCTCCAGCTATGATTTGGTAAATGTAAATGCCTCGCCTTGCCAATTTTTTTTCACTGTAAAACAGTGTCATAAATTCTTAGGTTCAGAACCAGCTATCAATTAGCTCATCAGGGTATATCCTTTTATTCTATAAATTCATGCCAGATGGATTTGTACCTTCCAAGGTGACTAGCTTTGGGTGAGAAGGGGCTTCACTGCTTTTGGGCCTGATTCTGTTTTAATAAGTGTAGAATTTAATCTAGAATTTATGCTCAATAATCATTTATGCTCAATAATTTATCTCTCAATAATCTAAAATTTAATTCCTTGCTAAAAAGCTTGACTTGAGAGATCTGGGTGTGTATATATATTCCAATATATTTATCTTTTTGACACTGTTAGGAATTGTTCTTTTCCAAGCAACTTGGATTTTTCTTTTTCCTGGAAATCTATTGGAAATGTGTGACATGAAACAAAAGCATAAATATGAGTAATGAGTATACAAGGGAGACACTATCATTAAGGTTTTTATTGCAATGGATATTGCACTTGATTTTGGCAGACATCTCATAATCACTTGTTAAGTATCCACTGTGTTCCACCTTAATCAAGAGAGCTGTAGACTGACACCTTTGAAATAGCTGTTTTAAATCAATAAAGTTTAGTGGAATGTGTTATCACTGATCCTGCGATGGCGCAGCTCCCTTCAATTCTTTTTTATAACCTGGGTAGACGGAGGGCATGGAAGAACTCAAATACATGTGTTTTTCTGGGGGAGAAAGGAAAAAAACAAACTGACCCAAACACCTTGTCAGTAACAGCTCCTGCACTTCTGAATGAGCCATAATTCTCTCTCCCAAAATATTTCCTCATTGTTGTGCTCTCTGCTGCTTTTTCAGAGCACACCCAGAGATATCTGTTCCTTCTGTGTGTTTTCTCCTTTCCTTGGAAGGGCCCCGTGTGTTTGCCCTGCCAGGAGGTTCTGCAGCTGCTCAAAGTGCAGTTTCATAATCAGCTTAACGTGGCCTGAGAGTGAGCTGGCAGCAGAATGGCAAATCCTGTGCTCCCGGATACTTTGGGATGTGTTCCCATTCCTCCTCCAGTGACGGCTGGAGCACTTGTGTGGCTGTGCTGTGTGTCACACTGCTCTGCTGAGTCAACTAAACAATTTTTTGGGAAAAAAAATCTCACCAGAGAAAATTCACCCATTCACTTGATGAATAATCTGCTCTGAGATGACTCATGGGTGTCCATGTGTCAAGGGTGATGTTGAGAGACACGGGAATAATATATAATAGAATTTGAGAAGGTGTCTCATCTCTTGGTTATTTATCAGTTCTGCTTATTGTTATAAATCATGACAATTCCAGTAAATTGGGTTCTTCAAGAGAGCTGGTTGGGGGGAACATTAAATTTTATGATGCCATTTGCATACTGGGATAAATCCAAAATGATTAACATTACAGTCAATAAAATGTAGTATGTATGAACTGAAGGATCTCTACCTTTGCAAGTATTCAACAGTTGTGTCAAGGAACAGATATCTGAATTTCTCAGTAAGTACAAAAGAAACTGATGCCTAGTGTGTCTGTACCACTCTATATATTGCTGTTTGGTGTTTCCCGTCCATTACAGTTTGGCATTTCTGGGTATAAACTGAAATGTTAACATGTGATCAATTTACACCAATTAATAATTTATCTTCAGGAGTCCTTGTACTCAGTGAACTAGAAGTTCTAACAGGAAAGGTTTCAAGGTTTCCTATAGAGGTGTTGCCAAATAATGGTGGTTTAGCTGAAAACCAGTTTAATCTAGATGTCCTCTTCCCTGTTTAAAAAGGTTCACTTGAGTCAAAAAGAAGTTGAATGCTGTCCTTTAACCATTAACAGGTCCAAGGCTGGGGTATGTTTGTGATAGGACACAATAAAGTGTTTTCCCAGGAGCAGTTGCAAGAGGTGTTTGATGGTGAGCAAACAGTGTGACATTAACAGCAAGTGCCTGCACTGAGGAGCGTCAGCCTGGCCTGGCAGCACCACAAGTCCTGTGGCTACGTGAATTCTGCCCAGGCTACAGAACCACTCTGCTTTCACCTCTTTATGGAAAGAGTATTTTGGTTTTTAGTTGCTGGTATGCCCTTTAATACAAGGCAAGACCTAAAAGCTCTTTATTCCATCTTTCCTTCCTTGCCTGCAGATTGGAGGCTGTAAGAACAGACTTTAAGGCAGTGCTTAGATGGGGTTGGTCTTGTTCCTTTCTGCCTTAATAACCTGTCAAAACTACTAGGAATTCACCACAGTCTTTTGCTTTAATGACCTCCTGCAGTTGATTTTCTTTTCCATATATTTTCTCTCACCAGTCAAAAAAATTCACCAGTATACTTACTTTTCTGTTTGATAAACATACAGGCCTCCTGTGTATAGGAAATGATTTTAATTACCTTGTCTATGTGTAAAAAATACTGTCTGTCCTGGAAATCCTTTGGAGTTAGATATACAGTACAGGGTTCTTCTTTATGCTGTGTTTATAACTTTATAACTCCCTCAGACTGTATGCAGCAATTAAAGTTCTTGATAGTTATAATGTCTGTTTATCCACATCTGTGGTAAGTTGTGCAAGCTCTTATCTGCTAACAACACAGATGTGTCTTCATTCATGTAAAGTTACCTTTCTCATTATTTACAGCCTTATTTCTGAAGCCATGACTTCCTTTATTTCTATATTTTACTGTGGTTCAAAGCACCACTTATGCTTTCTAAAAAAGCCACCACATGACACACTCCAGTCCTATTCTAATCTTTTTTCTTGTAGGGTCAGTGATTCTCAGTCAGTGTGAGATGCTGAAATGCTGGAGCATGAAATTCCCAGCACTTACAATATGTGTGTGAAATTATGTAGAAAAAACAGGGATTCAAGAAATAGCAGTGGCGTGGAGCAGTGGTGTTGTCCTGATATGAAAAAATAATCCCAAAGCTTGAAAATTTGAATGATGTGAGTTACATAAGTGCATTCCATTTCTGCTGGTCTGAGTATAATAAAAGTATGAAACTAAATCCTATTTAAACATAATTCTATCTTTTGGAACTGAAAATGGTGTTGTAGTTTAAAACAAATAGTATTTTGTAGCACAATTTCACTGTCATATTATCAAGTCCATTTAATATTTTTGGACTCATTGGCTTGAATTTGTGATTTTTAAACCTGATTTCTCTGGGAGATGTTTCTAGGTCACAGGATAGGATCTTTTGTGTCATGATTATTCTTTTCATAAAGAACAAAATATCCTTTCTTTTATATAGAAGTCTTTCATTTTAGGAACGAGGAGAACTAAGATGTACCTATTATAGCAAAAATCTTTCTCATGAGCTTACAAGATCTTTGTATTATTGGCACCCAATTTTATCACAAGTCTCGGGTAATGCTGTTTTTTTTCCTTCAGATGTGGATTTAATGAACTTTTTATAGCAAAGAATGTTAACATTAAATACTCACCTGATAATTTTTTTTCTCCTCCTCAAAAGTAAGTGAACTGTGGACTGTTCTTATAATTTCATTCTCATTCCCTGGTGAACTTACAAATGTCAAAAGATGGCAAATTAGAAAGTCCAGTGTTGATGTCTTCCTGCTATCAAAGTATCCTGAGAAACAGGGATTGTGCCATGAAGCACAATGCAGTTTTTCTGAGAAAAAGAGATTTCAGGCTTGTGATGCTCTCCCAGCTCCTTCATGTGACATCAAAAAAAAGAACTGCTGAGGGGATGAAGTGGGGGCTGGAGAACTGAAGGTACTATTACATTATGCATTCCCGCTGCAGTTTTAAACTCCTTTATTTACATACTGAAATACCACGGGATACCTGGCCATCTGCTGAGATCCCCAGGTGGATTTTGCAGGTCACTGAGCTCTGTGCTTGCAGACCTCAAGGTATCTAATTAAAACCCATCCAGGTATGTCCACACCAGCTGTAGTTATACCACCTGATGGGGAATTCCAGTTAAGCAATACCTGAATGTCATAAACGGCACTAAAGCTTCTGATACTGCAGTCCAAGCATGTTGTAGATAACACCTGAAATGAGTAATAAGACCTGATAATGCAGGGAGAAGTAATATATGTTAAATAGGCTTTCGTCCCTCCAGGTTTAAGTTTCACCAGTGTATTTTCAGAGCACAGCCTCAAACTGCCCAAGTGGTAATTCTGCACCTTGGAATACTGGAGGAAAAGGTGGAGGGGTAAGTGCCCTGCTAGAGAGGAGGAATATGTTAAAACTTGGTGCCCTCAGTGCTGTTTACCCATGCACTCAAACCTCCACTTTATTTTTAACTCTGTAGGGGTATGCATTTTTCAGGTCTGTGAAAGAATGTGCTGTGCTAGAGTTCCTTTTAAAATTGAGACAAATTAGTTGTGCCATTGCACAACAATACATTGGTATTATTTCTCTATGTATTTCTTGATGTAAGCCTAATAAGTGTTCAAATACTATTTCCCTGAAGTACAGTTATTTTTAAATGAAAGTTTCATAAATACCACAACCTTACAGTCCTGAGTGAAATTTCTTTATAACACTCTTAAAAGTCAGAATAATATGGTTAATTCTTGTATTTTAGATATGCATTTCTAGTAACACAACATAGAGAAACTCTGCAAACTCAGGTAACAGAAACCTACTTTAAAGACACCATCATTATTTTCATCATATTCATTTATCAAATGGCTAAAAGATCAAGAATTCCTTTTTCATGTAAAACTGTATAGTATGGTAAAAAAAGGAAAAGTGATTGTTAGTATTTTAGCACATATTTTGTTTAACCCCCATTTTTTAGTGAAATTGGATGATGTATTTAAGTTACACCACACACATTTAAAAAAAAATAAATCAATGACTCATTGCAGATTTATGCAAGTTTTATTTTCAGCCTTCTAGGTGCATCTTCTCTCTCTGTAAAAAAGGGAGAGTTTACTTCACTTTGACTTTCTTTAGAAAAGCTGCAATAGCGAGTCAAGTTTGGGTACTATCCAAATTATACAAATGTGTTCATTATACAGAGGAAAGCTTCTGAGTGTTAATTACCTCCTTTTGTGTCAGCCTGGGCCCTGTCATGAAGAGCCTTGTGAGGAAGCAGGAAAGAAAAGGGGGAATTTCAGAGAGGGATTGTTTTAAAATGGTCATTGAAGGGTAAGTTTTGCTGCATGTGGTCAAGTCAGTCATAAAAATTACTAGATTAAGGGTTCTAGAATTTAATCCTGGGCATGTGATAGTGCATTTGGATGTTTAGATTTTCTATTTATCGTAAATCAAGTATGTGTATATTCATACTTGGGAAAACAGCTTAGTGTTTAGTTTTTATGTTACACAGACACTGATCTTTCTGCTTGTAACATTAGGTCTTTGAATGACCTGGTGTACTGGAGCACAAGGCTAATTAAACAGACACTCGACTGCAAGATCAACATCTATAAAATTCAAACCAGTGTAGCTGGAAACTGTGTCTGAAAAGACATTGGGAGGGACTGCCCAGGTGGATGGTGGAGTCACTGGGAGCGACTGGAGCTGTTCAAGGAAAGACTGGATGTGGCATTTAGTGACGGGTTTATAACGTGGTGACTGGTTTTAAGTTGGACTTGATGGTCTTGGAGGTCTTTTCCAGCCGAATCAATTCTGTGAAACGCAGTCCCAGAGGGGTCAGAACCTTCCCTATTTTGGGTGTTGGACCATGCACAGAGCCTCTGCTGTGAGCTCATCTTCCTCACGGTGAGTACAGTGTCCACGGGCACCCCATGCCGTAGGACACAGAGTTAAAGGGACCCATCGGGATCAGAGTCCAGCTCCCAGACACCCCAAAATCCCACCCTGTCCCTGAGAGCATTGTCCAAACTCTCCTTGAGCTCTGTCAGCCTCGGGGCTGTGACCGAGGGGAGCCTGTTCAGTGCCCCGACCCCACTCTGGGTGCGTTCCTCACAAAGACGAGGTCTCTTTAGATTGTTTCTTTCCCTAAAGGCCCCTGTCTCCTTTTCCCCAAGATGAACAAATCAAGTCATCCCAGCTGCTCCGCATATAAGGCTTCCCCTCCCGATCTTTCTGCCATCCTTATGGCCTCCTTTTGATGCTCTTCAACAGCTTAACCTCTTTTTTTTTTATAGCGCGGTGCCCAAAACTACAGACAGGGCTGCTGAAGGCGAGACCGTTGCAGAGCAACCCCCTCCTTTGACCGGCCGTTCCCGGAGGCCGAAGACGCTTTTCCGCCGCCGGTTCTGCCCGCGCGGCGCCTGAGGGCTCCCGCTGCCCCGGCAGCGCTGCCCGGCCGCGCC